TTTAACTATAAAACTATCGCACGTGAATTGTCCAAAGTGTCGCCGTCATGTTTCGCTGACTAGTGTCATGTAGGCGGCCACGAAAACGGCGATACACGACACCTTTCAGCCAGAACAATTCCTTGAGGAACTTCTCGAGATGGTATAATGATTGGATATAATGATTTTAATATATAATGGGTATATCTATACTAATATTATAAAGAGGTAAAATTTGTAAGTTTTTATGTAGGGGGTAATCTTTGAAACCACTTGTCGGATTCCCAAAATTCTTTCACTTATTGATAGCTACAATATTCTCGAGTGCTATAGGCTATAAAACATCACGCTACAATTAAATGGTGCCGAGCAGCGAGTGAAACTGCACGGGAGTAGCTAGTATAATATATAATGGTTGGATAAGAAGAGTGGAACATCGAGCTCAGTGGCGTGCAATTGGGGAGGCCTATGTCCAGCAGTGGACGGAACGAATGATGAGAAGAATAATGAATTAAGATTGGATCACGACAGATATTAACATTTAAAAGACACGCACTTTCTAGGCACTACCATTGGAGAACAGACATCATCAAAGTCAAAGCCAAAAACATCATATGGGGGGGCGGGGTTCCTTCTTCTGCTCTGGACTGAGGCCGCGGTGACTCATTGCGCATAACCCGCAACTCCGGCACAATTCCTAAATAGCCAAAACCCTAATCCCCAAAATTCTGGCAATGCACTCGTAAGTCTACTGGTGGTGCAAATGACCATAAGCGTCGCCGATTGCTTACATCATGTAATCCATCTGCTTATTTCCAGCCCTTTCACATAAAGGAACAGGGATCAAAATTGGCTTTACTGTCAATCACAATCAATAGAAGTGTTAAGAATTATTAAATTTTTTCATTGTGTCGAAATTTTCGACGAATCGGTGACAAGTAGAAATAAATAATATATCTATAATTAACATTATACTCAGGTCCCGGATTTAATACCTAGTCATAGTCATCATTCTAAACACTAGTTTTTATTCAAAGGCGCGGCTTATATTCACTGAAAAAAATTATAGAAGTTGTGACATCTTACAACGAATAAATTACATTACCAGCCTAAAATTAATACAAAAAAAAACTTATTTATTATTTATTTTCCCTCTCTTGATCATTATAAACTTTTCATGGAAGAATTTGCTTTGAATTTATAGCCCCAGTAAGTGATGAAAATACTTGTTTCTAAGTTTTTTCGCTGATACCCTTAATTTTTTGACAGATTTGTTCAGCTCCAATCCTTCCCTCATATAACATCCACGCACCATCAGCCTATAAGTGCCCACTGCTGAGCAAAGGCCTCTTTCTCACACGGAAAAGGTTACAGCTGCATTAATCACACATTTCAAACTTACCATGACAGCTTATAAGCCCAGGTTTCTTCACGGTGATTTTCTTCACCGTATGTAAATTGTGTGAAAATAATCATAGAAAGCGCATGTAACTCGGAAAAAAACAGGATTCGAACCCGCACTCTCATGTATGACAAGCGGGCGCCTAGACCTACGGGCCACCACAACCAAAACATATCTTTATATATAAAAATGGATCGCAAAATGTGTTGGTAAGCGCATAACTCAATAACACCTGGACCAATTTTGCTAATTATTTTTTTGTTGTATTTGTTATTGCCAGGAGAAGGTTCTTATCAAAAAAATAATAGAAAACTAGAGGGGAAGATTAGGAAAAGTAGTGACCCTTTGATAGCGAGATAGTTGGACCCGTGCGAAGCGGGGGCGGGCCATTAGTCTATAATATAAAAATGAATCGCGAAATGTGTTGGTAAGCTCATAACTCAATACTGCCTGGACCAATTTTGCCAATTTATTTCTCCTGTTATGTTCGTTTTATTTAGAAGAAAGTTCTTACGTAAGAAAACTTTAGAAAAGTAAAGCGGAATAGGGGGAAATAACAATACTTTCGGTGCCGTGGTAGTTCGCTTGCAAAAGAAATGACTGACACTGGGGTGGTCGGATACCCGTGCCAAGCAGGGGCGATATGCTAGTTTCGATTTTTTTTTTATCTTTTTACCGTATATGTCGGCAAACGAGCAAACGGATTACCTGATGGTAAGCAATCAGCACCGTTTATGGACACCTGCAACACCAAAGGAATGATGTGCGCGTTGCCGGCCCTATAAGGATAAGGGTTTTGGATATTTAATACATTTTTGAGTTTTGATTTTTTTTACTTTTAACTTTTGACTTTTTTGACTTTCGACTTTTTGACTTTTGACTTTTTTTACTTTTGACTTTTTTGACTTTTGACTTTTGACTTCTTTGACTTTGACTTTTTTGACTTTGACTTTTTTTGACTTTGATATAATATTTAACTACTAATCTTATTATTTACTGTGGCTTACTAATCCACAAATCAATTCAGCATTCTAGTAGTAAATCCGTTTTAGTAATACGCTACTTGTGTAACACAGCGTGTTATTTTCTTTGTAAATCGCTTCGCAACACATTTGTAACACATAATTGCTATGCAGGATGCGAAATACTATCGCTCCAAATACTTTTTTTATCCGCCTGTATAACAAAGATGGCGGCATGCGTCATAGTGAATGCGTACACAATTATAATTTCGTTGATTTGCTATTGTTTTTTTTTTTAGAATTTATGTGGGATTTCATTTAACACACGTACGTAGATCAAGAACAATATAAAACTAAAATTACTACGTCATATGCATCATAATAAGTACTTAGGTACTTAGTATTAATTATTTTACCTAATTCTGAATTAGGGATGTTAAGAGGAGGCGTAAAATATAATCGTCCTTTTCGCCGTGTGAGTGAGGCTAATACCACATATCTCCGCTATCCTCGGCTCCCCCATCCCCAAATACCTCATCGTCCAACCCCATCCCCAGATCACCCATCCCCAAATCCCCATCCCCAAATCCCCCATCCACAAATCCTCAAATCCCTAACTTGAAAAGAATGGGAACGCGCTTATACCTAACTCATCTCTTAGTACGGGTGTCCATTCGCGGCGCCGATTGTTTACCATCAGGTTATCAGCTTGGTGATTCAAGGTCATATAATCTTATTTATTTGTTTTTGGAATTATGAAGTGTTTATTGAAGCGAAAGCAAACTGACCGCACAGTTAGCGTTGCGACTGGGCCATTTGCGTGGATAAATACCGTAGAATCGATTATTGCTCTATACACATACACATCACACCTACACCCGAATTAGCCAGATTTGTGAGGCAAGCGGAATGAGGCACCGTGGCCTCGACCCAGAGCAGGAGAAGGAACGGGGGTTTTTAGTCAGTAAGAGTCTGACACTCCCTTCCTCCTGACCCCGGGCTGTAGAAGTCATTAGATGATATAATTGCCCTCACAAAAAACCCCGCACCTGATATCGATAGGCAGATAGGTGTATGTGAAAGTGTTTGTTTGTAAACGCACCCACGACACAGAAGAAAAGAGTTCTTAATAGTTTCGGGGCAAAGGTAATAACACGGCCTCATCCTAGAGCAGGAGAAAGAAGGGGATATTTTTAGCTAGTCAGATTCTGATACTTTCTCTTGCAAGGATTGTATGAAAGAGAAAGATAGTGTACCTTAAGTGTTCTTTTTCATTTTATGTTTCTTTTTTTTAAAACGTGTCCTGTGTCGTGGGTGCGTTTACAAATATACAAATTCACATACACATCTCACCCAGGCCCGGAACAACAATTGGTGAATCACATAAAGAGTTGTTCCGTGCGGGAATCGAACCCGCGATATGTTGCACGGCAGGCAGTTGCCCAGTCACCGCACCAACCGTGCAGTCATAGTTATACCTACGTTTTTAATACGCTCTTTTACCTCTGAAAAAACGTAAAAGTACAAATTTGTAAATTTATATTCGCTAATACTAAATTTCCATAAAACTCAACAATCCATCTAATATCAGGCTTAAGCTTAAGCAAGGTTTTATTATAAAAAGATAAAATTAACGACTTCACAGTTTCTCAATAATCAAGGCAAAGGTATGGACTGACAGTGACAAATTTATGCAAAATTTTCGATAGGTACCTTAGAATAGATTTGAACTTCAAGATTCTTGTCGTATTGTAATTAACAGTAGCATGTGATATTGCAACTGTTTTTTGTATCTGGCGATAGTCAAAAGGTTGTAAATATGTAAATAGAAATATGTGTTAAAGACCCATTGCATGGCGCTAATGGGTCTGCTCGAGTGGAGTGATACCACGGCCTTACAAAAGATCGGCGTGAAACCACGCTATGCCGTGTTTCGTCGTGTGTGTGAGGTTAAAGTAAGTTAGGTAAAAGTCCTCAAATCCCCAAAACTGTCTATTTTGACAATTTATAATAAACGTCAAAGGGTTGATTTCTGTTGGATATGCCGCAGTTTTTTATTCACTTCACTTTTTAAAAAAATAATTCTAAATACGATAACTACTCGTAAGAAATAGTTAAATGATATTAATTAATTAAATAGCCATTGAATTATGTTCCTTACATAACCTATTTTTTGATATCAAATGGATATTATAGATAAAACAAAATAAAAATAAAATAAACGATTTTATATTCATAAAATAAAAAGTGTTTAAAAAGAAAGAAAAACTTAAAACTACTTTTATTAATAACTTAACTACATTTTGTTCTTATGTAATATGTTATACATAGACTATGTATAAATAATATATTTATTTAACATTAAATAATTCAACTATTTGATGTTAAAATAACAACTTTCAAAGAAGACCTGAATAAAAAATGGAATGTAATGAAAGTTTCATTACATTCCATAATTTAAAATACAAGTCATTTTTTATAATAAAACAAAGTATATTTTATTAACATTATTAATGCGAAAATAAAAACATTATTGTAACTTTGATTTTACGATAAATAAATAATAATCGATAGATTAAGAGATTTATTTTTAATAATAAAAAAAACCTTGAAAATTTATTCATACGCCTTAAATGTAATAACTTTGACGCCGGCAAGCCAAAACTCGGTCGCGTGTCCATTGCATAGGACGTGTTGTAAATTTATATTAAAAAATACAAATAATAATTTCGTCTTATTATTTTTTTGTTATAATAATATTTTGTTTATTTTATTTTCGCGTCAGTGATTTTTTGTATAAAATTATTTGTTTTGAATTGTGTTTTTGGAGTTCACTTGTGATTTGCAAAGGTATTTTTTTGTTTTTATTTTTGTTATTTATATTATATTTATTATATTAATAAATTTATTACAAATAATATAAAACTTACTTACAATTTTACAATCAACTACATATTATATTTCGTAAAATAATTAAATTTAAACATTTTAAAATTTAATAAGAGTAAGAGGTATTTCCTACAAAACCTAAAAGGTCTTTACAGATTTTAATGATAACTAGGTACCCTACATTTGCTTCCTCAGTTTCTTACAACACTTTCTAATAGCCAAACACGATAATATTATTCGGAATGCCGATATGTGAGGCAACAAAAATTATAGCGCATATAAACTGTGGAATAGAAACAAAAAAATAGAATTCCGTTTATGGTTTATTGGCTTATGTTAAGTTTGATATTATTATAGATCGTATATACTTTGACCTTTTTTGGTCAGAGAGGGAGGTAAGAGGGGGGGAGGGTAACTTTGATCCAGGTCCCTTCGACTAACAATAACCCAGAGCCAACCGTATATTCGGTTTTCATTGGTTATGGAGTTTGGATCATAATTACCCCCCAGGACCAAAGAACCTAATCCGAAATTACGGTAGCGCCAAAAAATTTAAAATATAATATGAGACCTTACAATTTTACATGTATGAAAAAATCTAGTTACAAGAAAACGTTACATTAGGATTTCTCAGTTGAATTATTCTTTCTTATACACTTCAAAAGAGAAAATATTTTCCAAAAATAAACTCTGTAGTTTATTCTGCGATCCAGCCATCTAAGCAATTAGCCGGGGTTGCGGGGTAAGCGCAATGAGGCACCGCGACCTCGGCCCAGAGCAAGAGAAGGAACAGGGGGGTTTTTAGCCAGTAAGAGTCTGACACTCCCTCCCGCCCTGCCCTGGGCGGGAGAAGTCATTTGATGATATTCCCTCAGAAAAAAATGCCATCTAAACAATTAAATCGCATTTTTTTAGTTTTCTAAGTGTCACACACACTCATTCAGATCTAAGCTAAGCTCCTTAAACTGAATCACATTTGAGCTAAATTTCCTAAAATAACTAACATAAACCTGACCTATGACCATTGGTATATTGTAATAGATGTTATATCACCTTATACATTTTTAACGAAAAGATAAAGAATATACATATGATGTTAGCGCAACGTAACGTTAGCAAGATTACTTATCGATTATTTTAAGTGATCGTATACCTAAGTCACAGCCAGGGTACAGGTCAACACAGCAAATGACTTCTCCCGCCCAGGGTGAGGCGAGAGGAAGTGTCAGACTCTTACTGAATAAAAACCCACCCGTTCCTTCTGCTGCTCTAGGCCGAGGCCATGGTGCCGCATTGCGCTTACCCCGCAACCCCGGCTGAACATCAGCCCTATAGAACCCCGTCTATGCTGGTCTATTGGCTCTTTGAGGCGCGCGCGGAACGCTACGCGCTGTCCACTGACCCGCGCTTGCGTTAGCCGGAGATCGAAACGCTTAATACTGTACCATGACCCCGGTCTGGAGCAAGTATATGAGCCGCATGCTTCAAAATTTGTGAATAACAATAATAATTATGAAAACAGATACACAAATCTAAATCTAAGTAGGTACCTATAAAAGCGTTGTATAAAGTGTGGGAGAGCCAAGCTTTCTCACGAATGGTTCGGCTCGATCGGAATGATACCACGGCCTCACAGAAACCAAACAGCGTTAAAAAATCACAGGTCAGTGTTTCGTCTTTAGAGTGAGTTTACCGGAGACATAATACTTCCTTTCCTCCCCCTATCCATAAATCTTTGGAAATCCATTCCCTAAATGTCAGCAACGCAGGCACTCGTAATGTTCTTTTGGTTTTGTGGATGTCAATAGGCGCTACTGATTACTTGCCATCAGCTAATGAGTCTGATATTTTGCCCACACGTCTCATAAGAAATAGAAATGTAGAAGAGCCAGAGATGCCACGGCCTTACAGAATACTGGCCTTATAAATAACTTACCAGAGACGCTTTACCAAAAGCGCATCCTTCTGCCATTCCCATTTACTTAAAAATCCACTGAAAACCAGCAACGTACTGGCAACTTCTTCAGTGTTTCTGTCTTTTTTTTTGTCTTTTTAAAAAAAACGTTGCCCCGCATTAGGATTTTCTCCTGTGTCGTGGGTGTAGTTACAAACATACAATTTCACATGCACATGACACCCAGACCCGGAACAACAATTTGTGGATCACACAAAGAGTTGTTCCGTGCGGGAATCGAACCCGCGACACGTTGCACGGCAGCCAGTTGCCCAGCCACCTCACCAACCGTGCAGTCGTTTATCCAAGGGCGACGGCCATTTCTTACCATCAGTCAATCCACCTGCCAGTTTACCGACCAATCCAACAAAAAAAAAACAAACATTAAATCTTATTTATTACATAATTATTATCTAATATTAAATATTAATATTGATGAGGATTACAGGAAATACCTTGTCGCAAACCTTGTTAATATTGATACTCTAACATTTTGGCAATGATCATATTTAAATATTTATATTACAATAAAACTGCTAAATGGCATTGCAGTTATTTTCATAAGATGACGCTAAATCTCTTTCCTGTTAAGAAGTATATATTATATTTATTGACCTTTTTATATTTAACGGAGGCTCAATTCTTCCACTCCCCCAATCTCTAAATCTCCAAAACCCTAATCACCTAAAGGCAACTCACTTGTAACTCTTCCATTGTTGCGGATGTCTACAGGCGGCGCTGATTGCTTACCATCAGGTAATCCGTTGGAACATGAAAAAAAATCGTAATTTCACACTAGAATTTTCTCCTTTATCGTGGGTATACAAATATGGAATACAGATGTGGATCACACAAAGTTTTGTTCCGTGCGGGAATCAAACCCGCGGCACGTTGCATAGCAGCCAGTTGTGCAGCTAACGCTAATCGTGTAATCAATTTATAATTTTAATTTAATACTGATTTGAATAAGGCAGTAACATTAGGTTCCACCCGCTACTCGGCTCCTATGATTCCTGATCATAGCGTGATTTTTCATAGCCTTTTGGCACTCGGAAACATTCTAGCTTCCTATCAATAAAATAATTATGGGAATCCAAACAGTGGTTTTAAAGATTACCCCTACATACAAACTTACTAATTTTACCTTTTATTATATTACAGTATAGATAAAACGATTGTATGTACGATTTTTTTTAAACAAAAGAATTCTCTTTTACTTTGTGAGAGAACAAAGATTTGTGACGAGATCTGTGATTTTCTGTCTCCAGTCTTCCATATGCTTAATACCTATATGGAAAATAAAATTAATAAAAAATACTACTAGCAAATGCATCGATTAAAAATGCAACTTCTAAAACTTTCCGTTCGCGTTGTAACCACTCTCGACAAAGATATATTCAATCTTTACAACATAATAATAAAGTCGCTTTTTCTGTCACTTTGTCCGTATGTAAGCTTAAATCTTTGAAACTACCCAACTAATATAGATGCGGTTATTTTTAATTGATAGTGTGTTTGAACAAGAAGGTTTATATGTATAATAACATTTTATAAATAGTACAGAATTAGCTTACCTTACTTAATATTATAAATGCGAAAGTTACGATGTTTGGATGTTTGTTACTCAATCACGCCAAAACGGCTTGACAGAACTGGATGACAATTGGCACAGGCATAGGATATACTCCGGAATAGGACATGGGCTACTTTTTATCAACATACCGCGAAGGCGAAGCCGCAGGCGGAAGGAAGCTTGTAATATATAATAATTATAAATTTAGTATCAGCATTTCACTCGTGTAAAGCCTGGCTATACCGCTAATATACTACATTTCTAACACTTTTACAATACGTTGATAACGAATAACTCTTTCATGATTAATTATAACAACTTCTTATAAATTTATTACATCAGTAGACGAAATACAGATTCAATTGTTACATAACACCAAACTATATATATATAACTGTATTCAAGATATACTATGTTAAGCAACTTTTGTAGGTATATTAGATAATCGAACTATCAATCGTATGCCAGCATACCTAATTATAGAGCCACGGTATTCCAGTTTTATTCTTAGGTTGATCATAAAACGACTTTGTTTTTTATATTTTCTTTTATATTTTCAAAACTCATATGGTTGAATGCGTATAGAATAAATGTTTTTTTTTGTGACGGCCAAATCATGAAATGAATTCTCCCGCCCAGGGTTAGGCGGGAGTGTCAGACTCTTGCTGACTCAAAATCAGCCCTGTTCGTTCACCTGCTCTGGACCGAGGTCGCGGTACCTCATTGCGCTTACCCTGAACTTCAGCTCTTTAGGGCCCCGTCTGTGGTGGTCGAATGGCTCTTTGAGGCGCGCGCGGAACGCTACGCGACGTACGCTCGGGCCTGGTTCTGGTCGGGCGGCGAGCTGCCCTTACTCGCCGACCGCAGGCCCGTGCTTACGGTGGCCGGAGATCGTCCCTCGATCCCCGACGCCCGTAGTGTCGCCAGTTGCGGCTGCTGGGGCGCGAGGAGGAGGATTTCTCCCTCACGCGGGCCGCCTCTCTCTTTGCAAAAGGAGGAGACGGCGTCCCAGTTCCTCTCACTCCACACCATGGCCTCGACTAAGGCCGGGCGCGAGAGGTTGCCGCCGCCGATCACTTCCCTGAGGATACGGCGGTGCTCAGCCCAGGCAGGGCATACCGCTACCGTATCTTCTAGGTGGTCCTCACAATGACAACACTCGGGCGTTTCCTCCCGCTGGATCCGAAACAGGAACCTACCGAAGCCGCCGTGCCCGGTAAGCACCTGCGTCAGGCGGAAGGTGAGGACGCCGTGGCGTCTCTCAAGCCACTCCTCAAAGAGGGGTCTTACCGCTGCTATAGTAGCGTGCCCGATAGGGCCCCGCCTGTGGTGGTCTATTGGCTCTTTGACTTCTGGTCGGGCAACGAGCTACCCTTACTTGCCGTCCGCAAATTTTATTCTTGTCTTGATCATAAAACCACTTGGTTCTATATATTTTCAAAGCCTATATGGTCAAATGCGCATAGAATAACAACCGGTTTCCGAAAGGCCGATCAATGTTAAAATCAATTTAATCTCTTGTCAAGTCATCTGATTGGTTGACTGAATTATCAACAACCAATCAGATGACCTGACAAGAGATTTGACACCTAGTTAGTTGATTTTAACATTGATCGGGCTTTCGGAAATCGGGCATAAGTGTGGAATAGGTTGGCTCGACCGGAGTGATATCACGGCTTCGTAGAAAACTGACGTGTAACAACCGCAGTGTTTGTGTTTCGCCGTATGAGTGAGGTTACGTCCTTAAATATCCGAAACCCTTATTCTCAAAAATGCTGGCAACGCACTCATAACTTCTTACGTGTTGCGGGTTTCCATGGGCAGCCACGGTTGCTTACCATCACGTAATCCAACTATATCATAAAAAATGCGCAAAATTGCGAACAACGCGAAAGATCGAGTACACCTTACAAATCTTATGTTATATATATATGAAAATATAGTATAATAATAAGTTTATTTACTTCATAAAACCCCAAGCGAAAGCCGGCGCTCGCGTATCTATATTTTTTTTTGTTGTGTCTCGGATTACCACGATTGGAAGGTTAACAATTATATAATGTTTCAACCAACCTTTGAAAAACAAACTTTAAATAAAACAAAAAAACATACTTAATAATATAAAATGAACAAAAACAATAGCATTGAGTTAGCGGGAACAGGTTTGAAGTCGAAATGCATTGAATATTATTATAATTAATATTTACCTACGACATATAAGACGTCATTATTGTGAGAAACAAAATATCAGGTTGTTATAATACATAATTATAATTTAGTTTTATGTAACACGAAAAAGTTGTAGTTAGTTTTTTGTTTAAATGTTATTTCATTTGATGTTTAAAACTGATTAGACTGTTTTTCGTATTCTTTTTTAAATAATTGTGAACAGAAATTCTAAGAAAACATAAAAGACATAAAAATAATCTACCATTATCCAAATCCCAACTAATATTATAATTGCGAAAGTAACTCTGTCTGTCTGTCTCTTCTTCACGCCTAAACTACTGAACTTATTTGCGTGAAATTTGGTAAGACAGACATAGTTCGGAACTCGAGATAGGACATAGGATAGTTTTTAAAATAAAAATCTACAGGGACTCACTATTCCACGCGAACAAAGTTGCGGGCAAAAGCTAGTTATCTATAATTATAGTTATCTATAGGAAGGCCAGGAGACCAGACTAAACTTCTCACTTGTGATCTTTCCTAAACTTTAGTAAAATATTTGTATCAACGAAACCCAAAGATGCAGAAAAAAAATAAAGTTCATTTGTTTTTTTTAATAAAAATTGCTACAAAAGTGTAAATCAATATTAAATTATAAAATAAAATCAGTATTTCTTTATGGAACTGGACGTAAATTATAAGAACATTTAAAAATATTAATGATAAATCAAGAAACATAACAATTCATATACAATTTACGTCATATTATATAATAATAGCTTACTTTTTTTACAACCTAAAAAATAAAATAAAATTTCATTACTTAATTAATTCTAAACACATTAAAAACAATTACAAATACATTTATAATAATAAAAAATAGAATAATCTTAAATGGATTTAATCTCTGACTTACTGAAGACAAAAATAGTGAAGTGCATAAGAAACCATGATTAATGAAAGTAATTTTAATTAATTAGTTGATGTATGACAGATTGATCTCGGTTATGTTTTTTTATATTCAAAGTGACGCCAAATTGATACATTGGAAAGACTTTTATTAATTACTTTTAATTATGCAAATCTAGCTATAGGTACGGCTCGACTTTGCACAGGTACAATGGTGATACTAAATTTCTCCACTATTTGATGGATATTATACCTTTCTATTCAAACACTATCTATGAATTTTAACACTGGATAATGAACATTCATGTTCAATCACTCTATCTATTTTAAAAAACCGCATCCGTTGCATGCATGCTTGCATGCTTAAATCTTTTAAAGATATAAGCATGCATGCAGGGTCAGAGAAAGCAATTTTGTTTTATACTATAATGCTATGAATGTGATAAAAACGTTTATGATTGGCTTGAAGAATTGTCTATAAATTGGTTGTTTTTAATGTTGAAGGATAAAATAAGAGATTCCTATTAAGAAAGAAAGAAAAGAAAAAAAAAACATTTATTTCTGCGCAAGCGCACACACATAGAAATCAAAAATACAAAAAAAGAACAAAAAACCAATTATCTAAACTAAATTATACAATAATTTAACTGTTAACTAAAATAAAATTATTAACAAAAATTTAAAATTTTAAAATTATTAAATAATAATTATTACTAAGATTCCGTCGTCCGCCCGTTTGTATTTCTGTCGTTAGATTGTATCACGTGAACAGTGACAGCTGGACAATTACTAGAAATTTGGTCTGATGTGTATAACACTACTTTGACTGCACGGTTGGTGCGGTGGCCGGGCAACTGGCTGCCGTGCAACGTGTCGCGGGTTCGATTCCCGCACGGAACAACTCTTTGTGTGATCCACAAATTGTTGTTCCGGGTCTGGGTGTCATGTGCATGTGAAATTGTATGTTTGTAACCGCACCCACGACACAGGAGAAAATCCTAATGTGGGGAAACATTTTTTTAAAAGAAAAAAAAAACTACCTTTAAATTTATTTCTATCTATGAAATTTCTTCTTGGCGACTTGGCTGGGCAACTGGCAGCAGTGCAATGTGTCGCGGATTCGATTTTCGCACACAACTACTCTGTGTGATATCCACAAATCGTTGTTCTAAGTCAGGGTGTGATGTATAAGTGAAATTGTATGCAAGTAAACGGGTGCGTTTTGTGTTTGTCTACACAGGACAAAATCATACTATGAGGCAACCTTTTTTTAAAAAAAGAAAACAAAGATCTTTTCTAAAAAAAAAAACCATGGCAATAAAAAAAACGAAATTCGAATACGACCAAGCGGTTATTTGAATTTTGAATTTAGAAATTAAATATTTTTTTTCTTTGCAGATGTCGATGGATGAAATGCATCCAATGTTTCCTTACACCAAGGAAGATGTGCAGGAGATCAGGAAGGAACTCGGGCTGAAGGAGAGCACCATTGAGGGGGACATTGATGCTATCGTGGACTGGTTCCAGAAACAACCACATTTGGCTGAAGCTGGTATAGGTAAGGATCCCCAGCAACCAACTAGCCAACCAATCATTACCGGCCTTTTGGAAAATATTAGGTATTTAAAGAGTAAGCTAATAACTCCTACGGTGAAATTGTTTCTTATCTTTGTTTCACGCCGGTTTTCTGTGAGGCCTAGGTAAACAATCGGCACTGATCATCGACATCAGCAACACCAGAAGAGTCTAGACGAGTCTTTTGGAGATTAGGATCTTGAACATTTAGAGATTAAAGAAGGATGGGAGAGGTTAGGATTGTCCCTCTGGTTACCTAAGTCACACGATGAAACACAATGCTGTTTCACGCCAATATTCTATGAGGTCGTAGTGTCACTCCGGATGAGACTGTCACTCATTCGTGCTGAAGCTCTTCCTCCCACACTTAAGTAATTAAGGTTGAAACCTTTGTGTTTCTTGCTCGTTATTTTTCATATGAATCTACACTTTTAGTTAAAACAAAACGGATTCATATTTCAGACTTATTTCCCAAGCATATTATGACGTACGTTCGTACCTACTTACGTATTTACAGTAAAAAAACCTCATTAAACTACACAATAATATTTAATTTTTTTATTTAACAAAACATCTAATTTAATTGTACTTCTTGTTATTCTTCATATTTTTTTAATTATTTCAAACGCGTTTGTTACTTCATATACAAATTAATATTATCTTTGACGATTGATAATAAAACTTCTAAGGGCTTGTTCCTCAAGTTTTTCAAAGACACTATGTGTCAGATACTATACAGAACGTTATATTTTTCAATAACTATAGTGATACATACTAAATTTATCTACACTAATATTATAAAGAGGTAAATTTTTTAAGTTTGTATGTTTGTTAGTTTGTAAGTTTGTATGTAGGGAGTAATCTTCGGAACCACTGGTCGGATTGCCAAAATTCTTTTACTGATAGATAGCTACAATGTTCCTGAGCACTATAGGCTATAAAACATCAGGCTACGATTAAATGGAACCGAGCAGCAAGTGAAACCGCGCAAGAGTAGCTAGTTTTGTATAAAAACGTCATCCCAGATGATTAAAAATTTTTAAGGGTTTGTTTCATAAAGCGAACCGGAAAGCGACTTTGTGCTATGCTATGTAGTGATAAAAAATATTTATAATAATATTTTCCATTTCCATTTCAGAAAGAGCATTTGTTGAAAGAATGCTGATCGTAGCCAAAGGGTCGATGGAGAAGGCAAAGAGAAGAATAGACAATTACTACAGATACAGACTGCTTGCACCAGAGATTATACAGAACAGAGAAAAGGTTCTATCAGACTCTCAAGATCTATGGAGTTCATAGTAAGTATTGTTGCATGTTTATTTTTGTCATTTTGTAATAGTAGGGGAGCCCAGAATGCTAAATTTGTAGTTACAAGCAACTGGATTCTGAAGATATGGTGAAAAAAATACTTGATAACATTTCATTCCTCCGGTGGGGAAAGAGGGAATCGATAGTTTTCCAAAATTGTTAAGTGTAACTTTTGTTCTGAGGCACGACCGTGACAGATATTAATAATGTATATTCTCCATATATCCCTAACAATGAAAATATTTTCATCTACCGAATTGCATGGTGGGTTTGTCGGCAAACGAGCAGACGGATTACCTGATGGTAAGCAATCAACGCCGCCCATGGACACCCGTAACGGAGGAGTTACGAGTGCGTTGCCGACCTTTTAGGGATTAGGGATTTGGAGATTTAGGAACTGGGGAGGGATTGGGAAGGTGAAGGATTGGGCCTCCGGTAACCTCACTCACACGGCGAAACACAACACTGTGGTTGTTTCACGCCGGTTTTCTGTGAGGCCGTGGTATCACTCCGGTCGAGCCGACCCATTCGTGCCTAAGCATGGCTCTCCCACATTTTCTTTAGCATGAAATCTACCGGTTTACTCTTAATCTGTCAATTTTTTTTATATTGTTATCCCCCCCTCTCCTCTATTTACATTAAGCATATGATGGGTATATTCATCAGGATACTAAGTATTCCCCATATGTTAATCTGACGCGCTCGAGTAACTACCGAAATCCCATCATGGTCTTCCCTACTATAGATTAAAATCGTTAACCAGTATGGTTTGCAAACCAGACAAGGTTTTTCTGGTTTCTGTATTCTGTAGATTTCAGAAAATAATGTTTACAGTCTAAAAATCAAAGTGAAAGTCAAAATGAAATTATTTGTCCCAACCAACAAATAATTTAGAAACATTAAATCGACAGTGAATTTAGGAAGCTAGTTACAATCTACCCGGTGTATCACAATAAGAGTCCATGTGCTCTCCTTACTACATGTAGACAATGTGGCTTGGTGTGTCTAAAGAATTAAAAAATACATGATAACTCAAAATATATCACATTAGTACTAGCCACTTATGCATTAGAAGTAAAATTCTGGCGAAAAATAATATCATTATTCACTTATTAGTTAGTTTTCCGTACCTTAACAGGGTGATTTAGTTACAAGAGTGAAATTTATTTATTTTTGTCTACATTCACCTGCAAATAAATAATTATATAGAAAATTGATCTATACTATCTATACTAATTAGACAGACAGACATATAAATTTTATAAATGCGAAAGTAACTCTGTCTGTCTGTCTGTCCCTTCGTCACGCCTAAACTACTGAACCGATTTCTGTGAAATTTGGTACAGACATCGTTTTGAACTCGAGAAAGGACATAGAATAGATTTTATACCAAAAATTAGCAGGAATTCACTATTCCACGCGAACGGCGTCGCGGGCAAAAGCTTAGTAATACATACATTTTAATACTTATACCGAAGGTATACCTCGCACTACCTAATCGGAGAACGGAAAATAGAATGTACCTAATATGTTTTTCTGTACCTACATATAAGTAACCATTTAACAATTATTGCCATTAATAAATTTGACTTTGACTTTTATAAATATTTGTCAAATTTACATTATTATAAACATGACAATAATATGACATAAGACGCATTATGTGTTAACCATGAAATTGTATGACCTCGTGTTGACCGTCGCCACGTCATAATCGTATGTGTTATGTGGGACAATGAACTGCCTCTAGTGGTTCTGTATACTTGTTGTGAATCACTAAGTATTCCAATCCTCATTTAGCCAAAACCTTTGTTAATAGTAGTCCTTTTTTTCTGAGGGGTAAAACATCAAATGACTTCTTCCGCCCAGGGCCGTGAGAGAGTGTCAGACTCTTACTGACTAAAAACCCCCCTGTTCCTTTTACTGCTCTAGGCCGAGGTCGCAGTGCCTCATTGCGCTTTCCCCGCAACCCTGGCTGAGCATCGGCCCTATGGGGCCCCGTCTGTCGTGGTCTATTGGCTCTTTGAGGCGCGCGCGGAACGCTACGCGCCGTACGCTCGGGTCTGGTTCTGGTCAGGCGGCGAGCTACCCTTACTCGTCATCCGCAGACCCGCGCTTACGGTGGCCGGAGCTCATTAATAGTAGAGCTTAGGATTTAAATCTTAAAAAGTCATTTTTTTCTATTTAAGGGAGTTATCGTTTATTCCGGCAAACAGATTATCTGATGGTAAGCAATCGGCTATCTATGGACACCCATAACTTCATAGGAAATGCAATTGCGATATTATCGGCATTTTGGGATACGATGTTTTCGGGAGTTAACGACTGTGGAGAGGTGGGAGTGGGAAAAGGCTTATGATTCCGGCAACCTGACTCACATGGTGAACCACAATGATGTGGTTGCCTTGCGCCGATTTTCTGTGAGGCCGTCGTGTCACTCCGGTCAAGCCAATCCATTCGTTGCAAAGCATATGTAGCACTTAAAATTCAAATCTGCAAAAACATTTAATTTTACATAAAATTTCGATAAGTTCGTTTCTACAAAGACATTAACCACATAACTATTACAAAAATAGGTCTGCAAATACAAGACTGTTTACCCCTTTAAGCAATTTCGTATCAAGTCTGAGGAAACTGATTCATATGCTATAATTTATCGACTGCAATCTAGCCTTCACGGTAAATGGATCTTAGCAACTTATCGTTAGCCAATACTCTAATAACTTAGATAGTAAAGTACAGGAACATGTTTAGCTAAAAACATACTTATACCGTTTAAAAGTATAAATATCTAGTATCTAGTTTATGAAATTGCAAAATGCTATGTTGCAATCTTGCAATTTGTTGTGGATCGAATGGAAAATCCCTTTACCTAACGTTAAAAGTTGCAGTTACGATCATTATAATCATTATTATCAGCCTATAAGTCCTATCAGCCTTTAAGTGTGGGAGAGCCATGCTTCGGCACGAATGGGTAGGCTCGACCGAAGTGATACCACGGCCTCACAGAAAACCGGCGTGAGACAACCACAGCGTTGTGTTTCGCCGTATGAGTGAGGTTACCGGAGGCTCAAACCTTCCCCACCCCCAATCCCTCCTCAATCCCTAAATCTCCAAATCCCTAATCCCTAAAATATCGGCAACGTACTCGTAAGTCCTAAGTTGCGGATGTCCGTGGGCGGCGCTGATCCATCTGGTAATTCGTCCGTTCGTTTGCCAATCTATTACATAAAAAAGTGCCCACTGCTGAGCAAGGCCTCTTCTCACACGGAGAAGGCTAGAGCATGAATTACTACGTTTGCTCAATGTGGGATGGCGATTTCAAACTTATAATTAGAAATTATAAGTCCAGGTTCCCTCACGATGTTTACCTTCACCGTATGTCAGTGGTGTCTAAATAATCATAGAAAGTATATATAACTCGGAAAAAGTAACATTGGTACTTACCAGGTTTTGATCCCACGCCCTCATGCACGAGAAGCGGGCTCCTTAAGCTCGATCAGAACGATTTAAAATTTATTAACTAAGGGCTGATTTTTCAATAGCCAGATATATGTTATCTGAAGATTAAAATTGTTGCTGTCACTGTGTTATACAAACATTCTGACGCGACAGCATCATCATTATTCCCTAGATAACTTTTATCTAACTATTGAAAAATCAGCCTTAAACATTTTAAGTGTGGAAGAGCTATGATTCGGTAAGAACGGGCAGGCTCGATCGGAGTGATATCACGGCCTCATAGTAAATTGGTGTGAAACAACCACAGCGTCTTGTTTCGCCTTGTGAGTGTGGGTACAGGAAACCCGATTCTTCCCCGCTATCTATCCCTAAATCTCCAAAACTCTAATCCCTAAAAGGCCAGAGACGCATTCGTAACTACTCTGGTGTTGCTGGTGTGTGATAAGCGGTGCTGATTGCTAACCATCAGGTAAAACTGACTTCGCGGTTTGCGCGGGGCTGGGCTGTCGCGCAACGTGTCGCGGGTTGGATTCGCGCCCGGAACAACTCCTTGTGTGATCCACAAATTGTTGTTCTGGGTCTGGGTGGTGTGTGTGTGTGTGTGTGTGTGTGTGTGTAATTATATGTTTGTAAACGCAACTACGACACAGGAGAGAATCCTAGTCTGAGGCAGCGTTTTTTTTTAGATTATTTAAGATTTTCCACATTCGTCTGTAAAAAGGAAATTTTGAAGTATTTTAACAAAAAGTAAACTATTTATTTTTCATTTTATAATCGTTTCATGTAAACGATAAAAAACAAAATTAAGTTCCTTTTTGTGTGACGTTGTGATTGTTCCGAGATTATTTTGATTTATTCGCTATTGTTTTATTCGATTAGGTATGTTTTGGTTAAGAACAATCGTCATGACGTCAATCTCCTTTTAAATATTTACGTTTATTTTTTTTCCTTTTCCCCGTTTCAAAACTGTTTCTGTTCTGTTTTAATATAATGTATGAGAAATCGTAGCTTTGTATTTAGATTTGGAAAGCGAATTATTCGTTTTTCAAATGATGACTGCGCAGTAGCCCGGGCGTAAGGCGCGTTGCGTTCCGCGCCAACCTCAAAGAGCCGATAGACCACCACAACCGGGGCCTTACATGGTTGAAGTTCAGCCGGGGTTGCGGGGTAAGCTTAATAAGTCACCGCGGCTTCTGCCTAGACCAAGAGAAGGAAGGTTTTAGTCCGTAAGAGTCTGAAACTCTCTCCCGCCTCACCCTGGACGAAGTCATTTGAAGTCATTCGATGATTTTTCCCTAATGAAAAAAAAAACACTTAATTTGGTGCTAAGCAACTGAATGGCGTGAAGTTAAAGTCAAAGTCAAAGCCAAAGCATCTTTATTGTGGGCATATGTGAGTTACAGGTCTTAACATTAAATTAAAGTATCAATATGTCCTGCCTCATAGGCATACAATTAAATTATGTGGGTACTTATAATAGCATAGTAATAATTATATTGACATAAAAAATTTGGAATTATTAAGAATGGTAAAAGTTATTATAAATGTAAAAGTACAGTGAAGACTATCATCACATGGTCAATATTAATGCATGTCAAAATACAGTGAAACTAATAAACGGTCAAAAATTTAAGAAATCTTGGATCGTGTAGTACGCTTTATCAATTAAAAATGTTCGTAGTTTATTTTTAAATACTGCAAGTTCCTTAGTGTCTAGAATGCTAATAGGTATTTTGTTATATATTTTTGATGCCATGCCAAAGAAGCTTTTGGTAAATACAGCCGTTTTATGTGGTACATTAGAAATTTTTAAATTATGCCTTTTCGATTTAAGTTTTTCAAATAGATTTTCATTTGTTTTTATAAATACAGCTACTTCATAAATATAAATTGAAGGGAAGGTCAATATTTTTAATTCTTTGAAATATGGTTTACATGAATCTGGAACACGAATACCAACCATCGCTCGTACACATCTTTTTTGCGCCTTGAACACCAAATCTTTATTAGTTGCATTGCCCCAATAAATGACTGCATATCTCAGTGTTCCCGAGATATAAGAATGATATGCGGTCAAAAGAACTGATCTATGAACTATTTTTGATAATTTATATAAAGCATATGAGTACTGATTAATTTTATTGCATACTGTATCTATGTGTGTTTGCCAAGACAAATCCTTATCAATCCAAAGCCCTAGAAATTTAATGCAGTTGACATGTTCAATTTTCGTCCCATTATGACTAACATTAAAGTTGTTGTCTGCTGTATTACGCCCGAAATTCATAAGTTTAGTTTTTTCTAAATTAATTATTAAATTATTGTTCGTCAGCCAGTTAATTATATTGCAGAGTGTGGAATTTATTTCAATCTCAAAAGTATTCATATTTTGTCCAGTAAATATAACTGTGCTATCATCAGCGAAAAGTGTCATTGGATGCTGTGCAACTTTAGGCAGATCATTTATGTAGGTCAAAAATAACGGAGGACCTAACACGGTTCCTTGTGGCACTCCATATATTATTTTTTTGGGCATGGATTTATGGCTTTGTTCGGTACTATTTGAGATATTAATATTATTTATTTCTACTACCTGATATCTGTCATTAAGATAGGATTCCAGAAGTTTATGGACATTACCCCTTAGACCATATCTATATAATTTATTTAAAAGTGTTTCATGGTGTACATAATCGAAAGCTTTCGTCATATCCATAAACATTGCAGAGACAGGCACACGTTTATCAATATTGGTATATACCGTTTTTAAAAGGTCATAAATTGCTAAGTTAATTGTCATATTTTTTCTAAAGCCTTTTTGTTCCTTCGCAAATAGATTGTATTTTTCCAAGTGAGTATTAATTGCATTATATATAATTTTTTCAAATATTTTAGAAAAAATAGGAACAAGTGCTATTGGTCTGTAACATGACATGTCCTCCTTGTTATTTTTCTTAAAAAGAGGCTTCACTACAGATTTTTTAAGTTTAGAAGGAAACACACCATGCTCAATACATAAGTTAAATATATGATTGAGTACTGGGCTGATGATGGGAGCAACTTCTTTTATTGAGGATGTTGTAATGTCATCATATCCAGCACTTCTAGTGTTTTTGAGTGTTTTAATTATAATATTAATGTCATACGGTGTTACTGGGTTTAAAAACAAAGATTTATAAGAGCCATTAGTCAATGTCAAATTGTTATTGAAAGATGTCATATTCATACTAGGATTATTATTAAAATGGTCAACAATTGATGAATTATTATTATTATATTAATCTAATAATATTAATCTAATAAAACCAATTAATTCACTTAAATTAATTGGTTTTATTAGATTAATATAATAGTTATTAAATTCTTCAGCAATTAATTGTGGGTCTGTTAAAGTTTTATTGTTTACTTTTATTTTATTAATATTTTCTTTTGGAAATTGGTATTTGTTAGAATTAATAATCTTCCATGTGGCTTTAGACTTGTTCTCTGCATTGGATATTAGGTAACTATTTTGAGATTTTTGGGTTAGCATAACAATTTTTCTGAGACGGTTACTATATTGTTTGAGAGCATTTTTATTATCTTCACTGGGATTGAGTCTATACTGCCAGAGTTTTTTTCTTTTTTGTCGACAACACTGACTTATTCCCTTTGAAAGCCATTTAGGTTTTTTAACAATATTATGTCTAATTCTTATTATTGGAAAGCAGAGGTAATAAAAAAGTTTGTAGTGGTCAAAAAACAAATTGTATGCTACTTCGGGATCACTAGTTGAGTACACATCATAAAAACTTAAGTTCCCCAGACATTCTTTGAATTTAGTTATATTTTCTATACTAAAGTCTCGCCTTTTGGTATACCAGAAATTGACAGTACAAGTTTTTTTAACAGAAAATTTTAATAGTTGTGCCGTGTGTAATTTTTTCACACAAATTGTTAAAATTCCTGTTTAAATTGTGATTATATTTATGTTTTGTTCACTAAATAAGCACTGTTAGTCACTTGTTTGCACTATTGCTTCACTTAAGTTCAAATTTTAATACTGGTTTTTGTAGAAGGGCTTTTTGACACTTATCACAAATTTTTAACTTTATCTTCTTTCTCACTTAAGATTTGTCCGAGATAACGATGTCACTTATTATTTAGAATGTAATTAACGTTTTGGTATAAAATAATTGTTATTTCACTTTGTATTTTAATTATCGAAGATTTTAAAAACAGAGTGCAACAATTTTAGGTGCTTGTGGCTAAAGCGCCATCTAGCGAGTGAAACGTGGAACTAGTTCGATTCCCGCAAGATACGGCTCTTAATGATGCACAAATTATTTTTCTTGTTATGCACTAGTAAATCGACTATTGTATTGTTTTACATCGTTACCCATTTTAATAAGTCTAAGTAATCCTTTGTTAATGTTTTTCTTTTTTTTTTACTTCCAGCCTGCAGCTGTCAATGCCCAAGATGTATAAATGCAACAGAGTTTCAGTGTTCCAACTTCTCAACCCTGACCCGAGTGCCTTCTCATGTGAAGCTTTCCTTAGAAATACTTTTATGGTAATTATTCTTTTTCATTTTCTTTTATATCTTCTATTCACTGTCTTGCTAATTTCTTAAGTGGGTGTTCAGCCAAAGGTCATTTTCATCTACTAGGGTATGTAGACACAACAAAAAGAAAAGGACTCTATTCTAATTATCGTACTACTTTAATCATGCTGGCTTAAAGTTGGTGCGGTGGCTGGGCAACTGGCTGCCGTGCAACGTGTCGCGGGTTCGATTCCCGCACAGAACAACTGTTTGTGTGATCCACAAATTGTTATTCCGAGTCTGGGTGTCATGTGTATGTGAAATTGTATGTTTGTAACCGCACCCACGACACAAGAGAAATCCTAATATGGGGCAACGTTTTTATAAAGGAAAGCAAACACAAAATTGTGTTTCCCACCCCAAATCCTTTCTGCATCCCCAAATCCCTAATATTAGAATACCTTAAAAGATTGGCAACGCACTTTTAGCTCCTCTGGTGTAGCGAGTGTCAATAGACGGCGCTGATTTACCATTAAGTGACCAGTCTGCAGGTTTGCTGACTTCATTATATAAGTTTGATAGTGTTTAAAAAAACTGAACGTCGTCCTAAGTTGTGTAGAAATTTGCTCTCGGTGTATGGTTAAATGTATACACACTTCAAACAGTTGCACCTAGGATAGCGACCAAGCGCTCATTCCAAATAAAAACAATTGAAACCCTGACGTGCATTTCATAGCAAGCAGCTGTGCAGCAACAATGACACCTTACATTTAGCAATAAATCTGCGGCTACCGTGTTTGAGCCCAGTAACTTATATTTCAAATTCTAGACCCATAAAATACAAATCGGTACACTGGTCGAACGAATTCAATCTTAACATTGCATTAGATATAAACATTTTAGCAACATCATTATCTAAACATATAGTAAACATATCAAATAAGTCTCTTTTATTTTTTCAGTGAGGCTTTTTGATCTTAATTTTCTTCTTTATTTCAGCTCGGTGACGTAAGAATGAAACACGATTACTTCCTAGGAGACATTTGGATTGTGGACATGAGACACGCCACCTTCTCTCACCTGCTCAGAATGAACCCAACACTGATGCAGAAAGCCGCACACTTATTCCATGTAAGTTGAAAGAAAGAAATGCCCCCATAAGCAGTGCATTTAAGGCAACAGATAATAAATGTGAATGCATCTCCCACATCGTAAGAGTTACTGGAACTGTGTCTAGTAGAAGCTGACTGATCTTGTACACCATATAACTACTATTCATCCAAAGAGAATAAGCGATGGATCCTATCATTCAGTGGGATCAGCTTGTCAATCATTTGAATAATGGAAATAATGGAAATATAATTTTTGGGATGTTTTTATTCAGCAACCGTCTTTAAATTTCCTAATATGAAGAATAATACTCATTCAATTGTTACATTGTTGAATATATTTGTAACAATTTATTCCAACATAGTGCCTACCCAATTGAAAATCCAGCAGCCAGAAATGCCGAGAGAATATACTGACTGCACGGTTGATGTGGTGGCTGGGCAACTGGCTGCCTTGCAACGTGTCGCGGGTTCGATTCCCGCACAGAACAAATCTTTGTGTAACCCACAAATTTTTCTTTGGGGTCTTGGTGTCATGTGAATGTGAAATTGTATGTTTTAACCGCACCCACGACACAGGAGAAAATCCTAGTGTGGGGCAAAGTTTAAAAAAAAGGATGTAGCCAATATAGATGTACTACTTATAACCAACTAAATAAAATTATCATACTGCCAAGAAGAATTTGACTAAATCGTTTCGAATCTATACCACTACTTCAAGAAGCTTACTTGAAGAAAGCTAGCTTACTTCAAGAAATCCAGTAGATCAACCTCTTCCTTCAAATACAATGCCATTAAACCAACATCTTTTGTCTCCTCAAATTCCAGGAAGGGCTTGGTCTTCGCATCCACTCCATCCACGTCCTGAACGCCAATAGCCTATTACAGCATGTCGTCAGCTTCATGAGGCAGTTCTTCAGCCCAAAGATCATTGACCGTGTGATTGTACACGAGTCTTTAGATGCCTTGCACATGAGCCTGCCTAAACGGTATCTGCCGAAAGACTATGGTGGTGATGAGCCAGCTCTGGCAGAATTTAAAGGTATTTTTATATTTCTGTTAATAATACACAGAGTATTATAAAAAAATACTTTGTGACTGTGTTCGATTCACGGTCTGTTTTATTTAAAAGAACCAATATGACTTCAACTTTGACTTCTAATTTGACTGTGGCTTTGACTTTGACTTTGACTTTGACTTTCACTTTAACTTTGACTTTTAATTTTAATTTTACTTTGACTTTGAAAGTTGTAAACCAATTTACTTCTGAGAGTATTTTTGAATACGGAAAGTTTTAGTGATAAGAACATATGAAGAGTAACAGACAGGCGAGTCAGGCGTTCGAACATTGCTCATAATTATGTCACTGTTTGCGTGGACGATGTCCCGACCCGCAGTCCCGACCCGTAGCTGCAATGTTCGATCAACAAATGACGACGCGCCGCATCTCCGCAAATGAGACCTAATTGGTTTAGTGTTTGCAATGATAAAGTAGGCGTTGTTGAAGCTATCGCAAAATTTATGAATTAGGAACAGGTGCCTACTGACTTTAGGAAAGCAATAACGCTCAAATACCTATAATAAAGTAAGCGCCTGTTTCACCATCTTCATATAAGTAAACAATAAACTTGTGTGCCACACAGAAAGTAATTTCTTTCAATGTTTAAATTAATCTGGCTCTTGGTATTAAAAACGTCATATAGCAAACCAAATTAATAAAAATATATATGTACTTATGAAGTGAAGGAATATTTATGGCACAGAAAAAGACCAACTAATAGTAACAAGTAACAAGTAAAAATCACTGCACGATTGGCGCGGTGGCTGGACGTTCGGCTAACGCGCAATGTCACACGGGTTTCTTAATATAAATAACTTTATATACAAAATACATAGGTGGGCTTAGTGTTAATAAGCGGTTCTATTTCCGAACGGAGCAACTCTTTTGTGTCATCCAAAAAATGTTGTTTCGGGGTATGTGTCATGTAAAATTGTATGTCTGTAAACGCTCCCATGAGACAGGGGAATAGTCAATTGTGGAGCAACGGTTTAAAAACAAATCATTATATTTTCAGATAAATACGAAAAAGAAATAAGAAGCACAGTAACCAAGCAGTTCCTTATAAACTCGATGAAGATGGTTTCCGATGAAAAGAAACGCCCCAACGCTGACATCAACGAAGAATACTTGGCTGGATCCTTTAGGAAGCTAGATTTCGATTAATATTCATGTTTAATGGTATTTAAATAGTATTAAATAAGTGTAGATATTAATTATTATTATTATTCTGTTTAATATATTTTTTATTTTTATTTTTAACAGTATTTTTATTTTATTTTATAATGGATAAAATGAGTTAGATATTTCTACTTCCGTCAATGGGTTAAGTAATGCACGTTGTTTTATGGTAGCATTGATGACCTAGCTCTACCGAAGTGATATTACGGTTTCATAGACAACCAGCGTAAAACATCGCTTGCAGAGCGTATTGCTATGTGAGTAGTTATGTAATTACACGATTGTTGCAGTGGTGGATAATTGGCTGCCTTACGAGTCGTGGGTTCGATCCCAAAAAATAAAGCCAAAATTATTTATTTCAGTGAGACCCTAATACGCACTTTTGAACGTCAAACAAGTCAGGCTGTCGATAAGTCCTCTTAGTGGAGCTATTTGCTCTTGTTGTGATCCACATAGGTATGTTTGTACCAAGTCTGGGTGTAAAGTGTATATGAAATTCTACGTTTCTAAACGCACCCACAGCACAGGAGAAATTCCTAAATTATGACAAATAGGTTTCTGGATGCTTAATACCCTCTACTATTCCTATATCTCCAAGTAGGTAGTTAGTCGTTTAGGATTTGTAGTTTTTTTTGTCACGGGAATATCATTATGTTACGTCTTCTCCCGCCCAGTGTGAAGCTAACCAATGTGTCAGAATCTTACTGACTAAAACCCCCGTTCCTTCTCCGGCTTTAGGCCAAGGCTCCGGCTAAACAGAATTGGTATATTAAAGGACACTTCTGAAAATATAAGTGACAGAATAAAAACAAAATGGATATTTAATTTCGCTTTATTTTAATGTATCACTTAAACACTTAAATTGCTTACCTTAATTCTAGGGGTTCTTATTAATAAAAATGTGTCTTTTATAATAAATGTCTTGTAAAATCCTTTGAGTACAGCCTAAAAGTAAGTTATCAAGATTGGTAATCAATTTAGTTTTATAGTACCTACATAGCTATTACGCATTACTATTGCCTTTTTGGCGATGATTTTTTACTGTCAAATGAAACAATATAAATAATAATCATGACTACGATACAAAAAGAACAGTTTAATCTATATATATATATATATATATAAAAGAAAGTCGTGTTAGTTACACCACTTATAACTCAAGAACGGCTGAACCGATTTAGCTGAAAATTGACAGGGGGGTAGTTTAGATCCAGGAAAAGGACATAGGATAGGATAGAGTAGGTAGAGTAGGTTAGGTAGAGTAGGGTAGGTAGAGTAGGTTAGGTAGAGTAGGGTAGATAAAGTAGGGTAGGTATAGTAGGGTAGGTAAAGTAGGGTAGGTAGGGTAGGTAGAGTAGGGTAGGTAGTCAAATGACGGGAGCGACGCCGCGGGTAAGAGCTATTAATAAATAAAAACCGTCACAACAAATTTACCAGATGAATACATATACTATGAGTTATGAATCAGCAAAAAATCTTGCTAAGATATGACCAAGTTGTAAAAAAAGGGAAGCAAATCAAACTTATAAAAATATATCTTTTTCAAACAGGAGTGATATCCTTATAAACCTAATAATTTCAATTAAATTTATTACTTTTTAGTAAAAAATATCACATTAACAGCCGGAATCACACAGAACCGACAACAATGTCAGAATTTCAAAGACATAATTGGATATGTTTTTAATCAGGTCCAGTCTAGGTCCAGATAACCACGAATTGGGTCGAGTAATTAAAGTCTAATCAATAAACACTTTTTTCTGAGTACCTTGTAATCAATAAGCGTCCTAAAAATCACACGCTGAAAGTATAAAACCCCAAAACATCAATTACCAAGCGTTTGACGCTTGGCTTGACACCGCAGGCTTATAACTTAGTTCTAATATCAGTTACCTCTTAATAACGACAATCAGTTAAAAAAATAATTTCTTAATGGCCCGTTTCACAGTCTATACAGTTGCTATCCACCAGATAAATCTACGTTTTAACACTATCTGCCGATTAAATTTATCAGGAACTTAATGAGGATATGTAAGAAAATGACCTTGAATATTTTAATTATCTACAAGTTAATCTAATTCTAATTTTCTGAAGGTTCCTTCTACGCCGAATTCATCGGTGATTTTTGATGGTGTTATCCTTTTGGATTCGTCAACGAAGAAGTTCTTGTCTTGGTTCGCGTAAAATCGCTTCCATGATTCTGATTGGATGGTTTCATGCCAGACGTCTGTAAAAGGGAAATTATGAAATTGTGTTTTTTTTTTTTTTTTTGAGTACCTGAGAATTAGTTTGGTCAATATATGTTATGTCACGACCTTGTAGAAAACCAGCGTGAAACAACGCTTACGTTGTGTATAATAATAATTATTACTGTTTACAGGAAAGTAACCAGGTCCTTCCTCTCATCGTCAATTTCCTATCAATCGTTAAATGCCTTACAACGCACAAAAGGCTAGTGAAATGCATTTTTATTATGGTTGTCCAAAGATGACACCGATTGCTTACCATCAGCTAATCCGTCTGCTCATTTGCCACTGTACTCCATTAAACAAAACAAAATTTCTGTTTCTTCTAGTCAGCGGTGATTAGTGGAAACATAAGCGCGGTGTGTGATAGTAACAAACCACAAAGCACCATCAAAATGGTGATGTCATTACAGTTTTTATTTAAGCTTTAATTCCTTCGGAAACATTTCGACGATCAAGTTAATATTCTTTTTTATTAAAAGTTTTTAAGGTCCTAATATGTTGAAGTGGATTTGATAAAAAACATCCTTAACTAGTTCATTTCCGCTCTCTTTAGTGGCTCTTTAATAATAACAATATAAATACATCAACTCACCCGATAATTCCTGGACAGTTGTATTAGCAGTACCGCCGATATCACTTGGAAATATTTCCCTAGGCAGCACATTGAATATTTTCTCAAATCCTTCATATAGATGCAATCTTTCTGCATGTTTGGGCTTCATGATCTTTTTGAAAAGCGCCAAGATCGAGTGACCGAAGACTGGCACGTTGACCAGGTGAATGCCTTTAATCTTGATAGCGTGGCAAGACTGTGGATCAAAAAGGCCTTTATAAAACGACTATATTGTGAAAAGTCGGGCAAGTAAACTTGTTGTGATGGCTGATAAGTCTTGTGGGGGTTTGTAGGTGAAAATGTTTGTTGGTGATTCAGTACTATAATGGTCTGGTATACTCTTTATGGTCAAGAAGTTGCTATTAAAGCTGCCGAAAAAGGTGTCCAGAATTTGATGACCTAGCTTCACTTACGAACAGATTGATAGACTGTTATTCTATTAGATGATTTCAAAGCACCTGTTTATGGTTTGGTTCGAATAAATGATTTTAAATTTTGATATTTAAATTGGGCTTATCACCTTGATATACAGATTTTTGGAAAAAAAATATCAATATAAACATGGAACCCTGTTTAGATTATGGTAACAAATTCATCCCTTACTCCATAAAGCTCACACTAGTTACTGATGAAAAATTTCCAACATTTTTATTTTTATAGGCAGCTCTACTTTCTTCTTGAAGCATTATTTAAGGACTTACCGTTATATAATAATAGATTTTCGAAATCAAAATGGGCGTAAATTGTAATGCATGGTTCAAGGTCGCATTACTGAAGTCGAAGATCCAATGGTCTCCATGTGTGACATCATTGAATAGTCTGTATTCTCCCATCATAAAAGCTAATTTAACCACATCTAGAACAACCATTTCTGGATTCACGATTCTGGAAAGAGAAAAAAATGAAATTAGAAATATGTTACTTATTTTAGCGTTTAAGATCATCAGATGACTGAAGAAAATATGTCCGTTGTTGGCAAAGCTTCGTAGAGCGCAGTATCCATCATCACACTAGCAGACTAGTGCTAGTGCCCACTGCCGAGCAAAGGTCTCTTCTCGCACAGAGAAGGTTTGAGCCTTAATCTCAAAGCTTGCGCAAGGTAGATTGGCGATTTCAAACTTTTAATTAGAAATTATAATTCCAGATTTTCTCACCATGTTTTCAATGGATATGTTTTGTCAATGTTTTCAGTGGTGTCTAAATAATGATAGAAAGTACATATAACTCGGAAAAAGTCACATTGGTATTTTCCAGGTTTCGAAGCCTTATATATGAGAAGCTGGCACATTAACTACTATAATAATATAGCACCGCGAAAATCGACAAAATAATGATTCTTGTAACGCTGGAGAAAAATCACTCAATGCCGATTTTCAATACTAGCCCCGACCTTCACTAAACACTAGTCAAGTTTCTTCTGTATACGTAAATAAGAATAGTTTATTCAAACAAATATCGCTTCCTAAATAGCACTGAATTGCACACCAATAAGCCATATTCAAAACTACTCTTAAAATCATCTAGACAAATGGAAATTCCTATTACATCTGGCAAGCAGTAACTCAACTTCAGACTGAACTAAAATGGCTTGGACGCCAGATGCAGGTCTTAAAATTTTCACGATCTAAGCCGTGATAGGAACGAGGGCAGTAAACGAACTTACCTGACCACCTGTGCATATTTAAAAGCTTCTTGAAATGCAGGTAAAATGGATTGTATAGTTTGCATAGTTATTTCATTTTGTTATGCTTATCTTACTTAATATTATACATGCGAATGATGTTTGGGTGTTTGTTACTCAATCACGCCAAAACGGCTGGATGGATCTAAATGAAATTTGGCACAGGCATAGGATACACTCTAGAGTAGGACATAGACAACTTTTTATCATATTATAATATGACGCGGGCGAAGCGGCGGGCGCAGGAATAAAATTTAAAATAAAAACCAAACCTTTATCAGAGGGGCCAATAAGTCCCGGGACTAAATATTTAAAAGATATTTTTCAAAGGCAAAAAGCTTAGCATTTATGATCATGCAAACTAAACGTTTAAAATCTATACAGTTGCCAGATGTATGTACAATCTACAGATTAAAAAACTCTCGCACTAAAAAGTTTTTCCTTATACAATCGTGCAATGAATACTTATTATTAATAAAATGTAAAAGTTTGGGAAAGCCGAGCTTCGGCACGAATGGGTCAGCTCGACCCAAGTGATACCACGGCATCACAGAAAACCGGCGTGAAACGACCACAGCGTTGTGTTTCGCCGTGTGAGTGAGGTAACCGTAGGCCAAAGCCTCCAATCTCCAAACTCTTCAATAGTAACTCCAAACTCTTCAATAGTAACTCCTTTACTTTTGTGGGTGTCCATGGGCGGCGCCGATTGCTTACCATCAGGTTATCTGTCTGCTTGTATGCCGTCCTATCCCATGTAAAAACATAACAAATAAACGTTATTTATTTTAAAACATCAACAAAGAATAAAAAAACTTGTTTGTTCACGTAAAGCTTCTTCGTTCTAATACTAGATGGCGTTTTATACAAGTTAACTTCAATGCTTAGACTGACGTCGTCGCTTCATTCTCGCCAATAACGCAACGTCACAAAAACTCAACAAATTGATTTAATTAGTTTAAAAACTCTTTTTGCATAACACCTACCTCTTACGGAAGTATTTACTATACAAGAATTATTAGTTTTAAGGAAGTATTTTGATTTTGATCTATTTTATGTAATCAGCGGTCAATTTGCGGAAATATAATTGTTTTAGCAGGAAAAAGTGTCGACAAATCAGTTCTTTGTGGTAATGACAACTCATGCAATTTGATGAACTTTCAAGGCGTTGAGATTGTATTATATTGTGTTGTTACTTTTTTGCGGGGAAATCAAATGACTTCTTCACTCCAGCCTTGGATAAGAGGGAGTGTCAGACTGTTTTACCGACTGAAAACCACTCCGTTCCTTCTTCGCTCTGAGCCAGACTGTGATACATCATGGCGCTTCAACACGCAATTTAGACTCGAGTAGATATTAAGGCTGCCCAATATTTAGATTACACAAATTTTTAGTCAGTTTTTTTAGGTCATTTATCGAGAGTTTTTATTATACCTGTGCGTCTCAAGGCCACTACTGTCCATATTGATCAAAATATTTTTGGAGTCTTAAAAACAAGTTCAATGCCTGATAAAATCTAAAAGCAATCCAATGATCGAAGTATTTTTTTTATTAAGAGTTTTTTCTATCTGCTTTATAATTAGTACCGTCTTGTAAAGTCTAACAAGTGCTTGGGAAACGCAAAATCACGGAACGTTATCAAGAAAATTGTCCTTAAAGAGCTACCCACACAAAGAAAACCCATGATACCAATATTATTTTTTACATTTTAAAACGCAATTGATTTAAATATTTTCATTGGCATGATAAAAATATCTATTAGCCAGTAAGCATTTATAAGCTGCGGCTCTGGATATGTAAAATTTAACATTTCTAAACTCATCCACAACATAGGAGAAAATCGTTCCATAGGGCAAAGTTTTTAACTTTATAACAAAAAATATGATAGCTCTTCAACTTTTCAATTAATAATTGTATTTACTCCTCACCTGAACAAAATGACCCTATGATTCTCCTTGGTCTTCATGGGAGGGACGACCCAATACCCTTGTTTCGAAAATTTCTCCATATTAGAAGAGAGAGGAGATCTCCCCACCAGGACATCAGGCATCTTTGTTCTGGCTGAGAAGTAGTTGTCGATCTTCTCCTTGCATTGTTCCACGCTGAACCCTCGAGTAATGAGATGGCCAATAATCATACGGTCATCTGAAGAAGAAGAAAATTATGTAATTAGATATTATAAATCTACCACTATATAATCGTAGTGGATGGGCTATTGGCGGCTGTGCAACGTGTCGTGGGTCTTCGCACGGAACAACACTTTGTGTGATCCACAATTTGTTGTTTCGGGTCTAGATGGCTTGTGTATGTGAACTTCTATGTTTGTAAACGCACCCACGATATCGGAGAAAATCATAGTGTAGGGCAACGTCTAATAGAAACTTAGACAGATCTTTCTGGAGGAATATTCTTAAACCGCAAATCCAAGACTTGTGACTCCTCCAATTTTGCACGTAGGTGTAAATCTGCGAGCGACACCGACTTCTTACCATCACCCGATGGTAAGAAGTCGGCGATCCGACTATTTACCACTCTGTCCTATAAAAAGCCTCTCCTTCTATTTTAAGACAGTTACAACTAATACCTTATACAAAATACAAATAATAACATAACTGAATTTTAAATAAGTGGTGTGGTCACAAAAATTTACATAACCCGATTAAAGTACTATTACGGAAGCCATTTTGTTCTATAAATACCATCAACAAAGGTTTGTTTTTAATAAAAACCCAGACGGGTTTTCCCGTAACTTAGCGGTTAAATATAACTTACGTGCGTTAGTAAGTTACAACTTGATTGAGACAAGCGGAAAATTGCCATTCATACATATGTTATTAGATATCGCGCGCCATTTTAATTGGAACCATAGCAGTGTGACATTTCGTGACGCAATTTTTTTACATTTATCATCTTTGGAACCACTTGGTTGGATTGCCAAAATTCTTTCACTAATAGATAGCTACAATGTTCCTAAGTGCTATAGGCTATAAAAACGCTACTATCAATTGGAGCTGAGTAGCCGGTGGAACGGCTCGAGAGTAGCTATGTAAAATATAAAAAAACACAATTTTCTTTCCAACTTTTTTATGCGAATGTAGTTTTCTAAATCAGGCATTTATTTCTGTCTATGCATAACAGGAAAGGCGAAAAGTTGCTTGTATAAAACGAATAAAATGTTTAAATATTTATGTTTCACTTATTAAAATTTTCGATTCGGTATCAATAAAAAGATATTTTTTACATAATCACTCGAATAGCAATATCCGTATAAAAATTAGACTGCCAAATAATGTTGAATCAATTAATAATTGAAGGCTGATTTTGCCTTGTTTTTAATAGATTTGACAAAAGAAAAAAGATAATTAAAACTAAAAGTAACACATTTATTTGTACCATAGCATATTTTATAGAGGAAAGATTTGATTGTTTCGTTTGTTCGTATTGATTAGGCTCTAAAACTACTTGACTGATTTTTTGTTAATTTATAGAATCAGCCGTTACTTTGCGGAAATCCATGACATTAAATGTTAGAAAAAATATTTAGTTTTAATTCCGCGACAAAAATCCAGGCTTGTTGCAGAATGCAATCCCACTCCTATGCAATCATGCATATGCACATGCAGCATTTCCTAACATTTAATGATTTTTTGTTTTTTGAATCATTTTTTTATGGTATGGACGTTCAGTAAAAACTACAGCAAGAACATGTCAAATTAAGATCTTTTATTAAATTATATTACATGAAAAAAACATTAGGTAAGCCTGTTTCATAAATGACATCACTTAACAACGCAGGTAGCAGTTTATTTTCGATGGCGATTGGATTTCATTGACAGCCACGGTCCTAACCAAACCTTATTAACTCGTATAATACTGTCGCAGCTTGGTTTTTAATGGCAAGTCCTTTACTCTTAAACTTAATACCTTTTTTTAGTGAAGAAAATGGTCAGATGAGTTCTCTCGCGTTGGGAGAACATTTACTGACTAAAAACTACCCCGTCCTTATCCTGCTTTAGTTCTTGCTCCCGCAACCCGATATACTAACAGCTCGAATCACCATTCCACATTTACATCCCTTCTCAATTTTTTTATTGGCAGGGGAAATCAACAAATAATTTCTCCCGCCCAGGGTGAGGCGAGACGAAGTGTCAGACTCTTACTGACTAAAAACCCCCGTTCCTTCTCCTGCTCTAGGCGGAGGCTGCGGTGCTTGTTTGCGTTTATCCCGCAACCCTGGCTGAACATCAGCCGTATAGGGCCCCGTCTGTGGTGGTCTATTGGCTCTTTGAGGCGCGCGCGGCACGCTACACGCTGTACGTTCGGTATTATACCTATATAGTATATTTCTGGTTGGTGGAGTTAAAGGGCAACAGACAGTCGTATTCTTCAGTCGTCGTCAATCGTCAGATTCTTTGAACACGGAACAATAATTATTTGAGTTATCCACAGATTCTCTTGCCGGGTCTGGGTGAAAATATTATTACCTATTTATTTTTTGTTTGACATTCAAAAGTATCTATATTAATGTATTTGAATTTGATTTTGAGGTAAAACACAAGCCGACACAGGACAAAAATATATGTCATCTATGGTTACCCTTTATGGGATTGAAATGATTCGTCGCCATCTTATTTAAGCAAAAAAATCTTTATAACGTATCTATAACTCATAATTCATGATCAATAATTGGACACTTCCTGCCATATTGCGTTTACGAAGTAATTTATATCTTGTTCATAAGTTATTTAGGTGCAAAGTTGAACAGAAGCATTCATATGTATGACTCAGAGGTAATTCCCATTGCCTGTTAGGCTTCAATTGTATTTTACATACTTTTTTATTGATAATATTTTTTCTAATCATTATGTGATTGTAGACAATGAGGTTTTATTTTTCTATTCTTGTTTTGAACAAAATATAAATGTGGAGAGAGAGAGGGAGACCAAAGAAAATATGGATGGATTGTGTGAGAAGTGATATGGAAGACAGAGGAGTTAGCGATAGCGTGACGGGCGACAGGACAGAATGGAAGAAAAAAACATATTGCGCCGACCCCAAATAAAACGGGACAAAGACAGGAAGATGATGATGATGTTTTGAACAAAGCAAAAATAGCGAAATTCTTTTTACCAACCATTAATATTAAGGTATTTTTTTTTGTTAACTGCCTCGTTGGTTCTGTGTTTGCGAATGCGATTGGCAAACAAAAGAATTATTACGATTATTTTTCGATTTACGTTTTGTGCAAAATATTATTGAAGTGATTTTTTTTTGCTTGTATGAAAAATTTTCAGTACTAGAATTGCCATCGCAAATAAATAGCTACTCAAATAGTACTGCGATCAAAGAGCTAGCTGATTAAAGGGCTGCTTATAAACAGTTTGTTGCGACTTTTATACTAATATTATAAAGAGGTAATATTTGTAAGTTTGTATGTAGGGGGTAATCTTTGGAACCGCTGGTCGGATTGCCAGAATTCTTTCACTGATAGATAGCTACAATGTTCCTGAATGCTAAAGGCATAGCATCTCACTACGATCAAATGGAGCTGAGCAGCGGGTGAAACGAGAGTAGCTAGTAAATAATATAGAAAAAAAACGAATAAATTTTATGATCCTAATATAATTTAAATACGTTTTTATAGTTTTACAAAGTCAAAGTCATTTATTTCAATAAACACTTTAGAACTTTAAAAAAATATTTAAAAATAAAAATGTGTCACTCTATCGGTCAGTCTTCTAGTGAAGTTACTTACTCGTCCCAAAGTGTTTTTTTATGTTATAAAAACCAAATGAGCAGACGGATTACCTGATGGTAAGCAATCGGTGCCGCCCATGGACACCCGCAACACCAAAGGAGTTACGAGTGCTTTGCCGGCCTTTTGGGGAAGGGGTTGCGGATATAAGGACCGGAAGGGATAGGGGAAGGGGCAGGATTGGGCCTCCGGTAACCTCACTCACACGGCGAAACACAACGTTGTGGTTGTTTCACGTTAGTATTCTGTAAGGCCGTGGTATCACTCCGGTTGAGCCGACCCATTCGTGCCGAAGCATGGCTCTCCCACACATAATACGTAACTAGTATTCCTATGGAGAAGAACGAGCAAGAAACTCCATGGTTACACTTTTACAATCAGGTTTTACTATCCTATGCACGGTTATAATAAAAAGTAAGTTCAATTATGTGAAAACAGCATAACGTCAACAATGTTTGTTTCTCATAAGGGAACTCTTTGTGTAATTTGTGTATGTGTAATTTTATGTTTTTAAACGCACCTCTGACACAGGAGAAAATCCTAGAGAAGGTAACGTTTTTCAGAAAAAGAAATCAAATTTCAATTTGTTTGTTTGTAAACGTACCTACTCACGATGCAAGAGAAAATTTAGAGCAAAATTATTTAAATACCTAAATAAATTTAAAAATAAACAATAAAAAATGTATGGTCCTAACAAAAGCAAAAAAGTCATTATGAGACTAGTTTTTAAACAAATACGTTATGTATAATAGCCTGGTAATGCAAATTATTATTTTTTAAATATAAAATAGACAGACAGGTTTATTATTTTATTGAACTACTTTATATTATTTTAAAATAATGTGAGAATCTGATTTTTATTCTTTGTTTCTTTTGTGATTATTATTTTTTTTATTTTTATAGATTTGTAGATATACTAGTAGCTATTGGTGGTGTGGTTCTATTGATCTTAGCGTGATGTTTATTATCTTATTAATACGCTAAAATTGGCGTCAAACAAATACAAACACTTTTCATTTTAATTTGACTTAAATTCTTACGTCACTAATATCTCATTATAGATACCTACTAAGTGTTACATGTCATAAGATTATAATACGTAATAAATTTAATAAGTTTAATATTTATTTAGGTACGTCAATGAAATTATTAGGTTTGATAAGCTGCAATAACATTAATCTCAGCAGGAGTAATGGGCATTGCACAACGAGGCTCCGGCAAGAAGCAGGAGAAAAAATTTGCTGATTTTTAATCAGCAAATGCCTGATACTTGGTCGTTTTCGCCCCTAAAACAGCAACAATAATAATGACGAAATAAAACAATTTCGCAGAGGTCTTATCCATTAATATCTAATGTGTTGATTTTTATAAAAAACTGGTCTCAACATTAACATTTATTTAGCTTTTTTCTTCCATATATTCAACCTATTTAATATGTGCAATGTTAATCAATACTCATAGCCAAATAATTTGCGAATTAATGTACCTACTTAAAATAATTTTAACGTCAAAAATTTACCTACATTAAATTGATATAATAATTATTTCAAATTTCTTTTCCACTTTCAATGTGTGTACATTAATTTGTGCGGTGAAAACTTCCAAAGGTATTTTGAAGCAGATAATATCTTTATCCGATTGAGCTGTCATTTTGTATACACGTTTGGTTTCTATGAGACCAAAGAAAATATGGATGGATTGTGTGAGAAGTGATATGGAAGACAGAGGAGTTAGTGATAGCGTGATAGGTGAGAATGGAAGAGAAAAACATATTGTGCCGACCCCAAATAAAACGGGACGGGATGATGATGTTTGGTTTCTATGACGAAAATGGTAATCTGCAAGCTTTACAACTCAATTCGAGGTATATGGAATCGATAAGTATTCGTGTTATTCCAGACTATAATCTATATCTGTGCTCTTTTGCTTCAAAATCAATTCAGTAGTTTTCACATGAAAGTGAAACAAACATGCATTTTTACAAACTTTCTCTTGTACAATATTAATGAGATCATTGCTGATATTATTAATTATTGCGAACATTTATCATTCTTTCTTCTCGCTAAAACCACGCTATTTAATCCCATAAAGGAAAAAAATGATTAATAAACACAGAATAAAACTGCAATAACCTTAGAAATCTCTGCTATTGTGACATAAAATGAAATCTATTTCCTTCTTCCTAAGGCATTGTTTTCTTTAATTGCGACAAATGCTTGCACGTGTATATCAATGTCACTTCAGACAGCATATCCACCAACTTCATTACCTTGTATTTGCAATCGTTTTTCAATCTTACACGTAAAGAATAAGGTTTAATATCCAATGTCACTACTGGCTGCACTGATTAGTTTAATTGAGATGCTGTTACTATAACAAGTTAATTATTAAAGGGAAAATTCCATTTTCCATCTTGAAGTTAGATCTTGACTCTAATTCAGTGTTGATTCAGTATTTCTTCGCGTTTAAATAAAACTATAAAGTATAAAGTATGCATAACCTCAAAAACATCGTCAACAAACTTGCCAAATTTCGAATGATAGCGAATCGGCTCTTTATTTTGAAGGATGAAAAATATCAAACGATTTCGCCTACCCTGGGCAGGACAAAAAGTGACCACCACCAAAATCACCCTGTTCCTTCTCCTACTAAAGGACGGAGTCACGGTTCATTAATGCTACCACAACCCTGTCTGAATATCAGCCCTAACGGGTCACATGTTTAACCTAGAACATTGAAATACTACTAAAACGGTACGTATTAACAACACTCTGTAAGTATTAATAGATGATAAGATCGCGTCGAATATCGAGGTCTAAGTGTAGGTGGTAGGTGAGCTAAGTTTTTGCAAATATGGGTCGACTCAGCTGGAGTAATACCACGGCCTCGCAAAAAACCGATGTGGAACAACAACAGCGTTGTGTTTCGCCGTGTGAGTGAGGTTACAGGAGGCCCAATCCATCTGTTCCCCAATCTTTTCCAAATATTTTTATATCCGTAACTCTTATCCTCAAAAGGCCGGCAACTTCCTTCGTAACTCCTTTAGTGCTGCGGGTGTCCAATAAAAAAAAACTTAGTTAAGTGCATTCCGTGCATTCGACACCGGTCGAAAGATCGGAAGGTGTGGAAGCGAGATGGCGAAGTCATTGCCCAGCAGTGGGACATTATAAACTAATATTCTATAAATCAAGTTGCCTTTAATTGCGTAATTTTATAATGTATCGTATCGAAACTCTCTAAATTTCTTTTCAAGAGTTTTTTATGTCATGGTTGGTTACGATCAGTCACATTAATGATGGTAAGCAATTAACGCCGCCCAGGAATGTTCTTATTTCAATTTCTAGACCTCGCAGTTCAGTAGGTTCCATTATTTTTGACTTGAAAATCTCGTACGGAAATCCGTGCGGCGTTAACTCTCTTAAATATCGGACATATGTATTCAAAAGCGATGTCTTTCGTTGGATTTTGAAATCGAATTTTCAACAGTCCTTAGCTTGACCGGTAGAACGTAATAAGGACCTCTTAAAGCAGACTCGAATAAGAAGACGAGTATATTTAAAACATTTCTATGCTCTTTGTCGGATTTGAAGTACTTAGTAGAAATTCATTCGTTCTTCGTTCAGTATTGTGCATTTTCCTTGTATACCTGTAGTATACGTATTTGTCTTGCTGTTGTATTTCTATACTAATATTATAAAGAGATAAAATTTGTAAGTTTGTATGTATGGGGTAATCTTTAGAACCGCTGGTCGGATTGCCCAAATTCTTTCACTGAGCTACAATGTTCCTGAATGCTATAGGCTATAAAACATCACGCTACAATCAAATGGAACCGAGCAGCGAGTGAAACCGCTTGGGAGTAGCTAGTGTTTTATATACTTGAATTCATTAAAACTTTCAATGATTATTTAGACACTACGTACATAAAATGGTTGAAGAAAAAAACATCGTGAGGAAAACTGGAGTTATAATTTCCAATTCTATTGTAAGTTTAAAATCGGCAATCCTCCTTGAGCGATTAATGCTCAAACTTTATCCGTGTGTGAAGAGGTCTTTGCTCGGCAGTGGGCACTTATAGGTTTCGACTAACATACATCTTATATTATAAACCTAATAGAATATTATAAATTTCCACACAAACTCATTATGTATTAGTGTTTGCCTATACCCTCGTATAAATGGATTGTCCTGTGGAATCCATCATAAGTTTTTACATATTCAATGAAAATTCAGGAACTTGTTTATCAAGTATATGAAGTATCAATTGAAAGGTACTCACGTAATTGTCCTTGTGGTAGATGTGGCTGCTTCTCGTACCATTCTCGAATGCTGGCGACCATTTCGTCCAGTGACTTTTGAGTCACATTGTACGATTTCATCAAATTCTCCAAGTCAGAGTCTCTTATGTTCATAATCTTTTGAACATTCAGAGAATAGTCGAAGTTCTCGTACTGTGAAATAATAAAAATAATTTTATTAATATCAATTTTTTTATTATTATTATTTAATAATTTTCTTTTATAAGAAAATATAAAAATGGATTGTTTGGTTTAAAAATAATTAAAACAGAATATAAAATAATATTGTTTACAATCATAATTTTATTATTATTTTATTTTATGAGTAGCATAAAATTGAATTCAATAGTAATAATGATAAATAATAACCCTTATGGTTTGTATAAAAATGTTGTCACTGTATTATTTTGTTTTAGTAATTGCGTTGTTATAATAATTATTTTATTAATGTACGATTATAATATTATGTAACATTTTCTTGTAATTTTTTTAATGACATAAGTAGTTTATGTTCATAATTATAATTATTTATTACAAACTAACATGCAAACTTTTTTATTGTATTTTTAAATAACAATAGTTTTTGTTATTGGCATATTTTTTCTGTTCTTTATTTATTTCCTGTTTAACAAATTTAATATTTAAAAAAAAAAGGAAAACTTAAAAACAAACATAGTTCACTGTTTGAAGAGAGGATCAACTATTCGGTTATAAAAAGAAATTAAAGTTAAAAATAAATAAATACCTAATTACTTACCACATTCTCATCTCCGATAGTCATTTTGCACTGGTAGTTATAATTGAAAAAAAATAAGAAATCACAAACTCACACTGACACTTTGTTCTCGCTACACAATCCGACTAAGTCTGTTCAGTAGAGGCCTCGTCCGTTTTATTATATTGACCGTCTTACAACCAAAGCAATTTTTTTCTACCATCAATCTATTTTTAGACTAACAAAATTATACCTCTTGACGCGTAGGTTTTTTTTGTAGGCCTAGTCTCAATTATATTCTAAATTTAAACAATTTATGATGTAAATATAAATTCGATTGCTATTTCGGGTAATCAGTTTATAATTATTATTTCGAAATAATTATTTCGAATATGTAATAATTATTACAAAAGAATTATTTTATATTTGTAAATAATTTCTTTTTTGAAATTATAATTGCGTCATCACAATACTTCGCAGTCTTGTTATAATTTTGTTCGTTCTAAGATATTTCTAGAGTAAGTAATTATGTCGTTGTTAATAGTTTCTTATCTTTATAGTTTAAAAATAATTTATATTTTAAGTACACTGAGGATTACATAATATAATTAGTAGTTAAAATAATTAAACAATGACATTTATTTATTTTTTTAACTTTTTGCACAAAAAATTGTACAAAGGTGGGCTTAATGCTATGGGCATTCTCTTACAGTCCAAACCTTTGGACAATATTCAGAAATAAATTATAAGGTGGACAAAGCAAATATCATCTGAAATAATATACAAAAAATTACATAAATACTATACTGGAAACAAATAAATACGTTTATATGTATTCTGGAATAATATGTACAGCAAATATATATACAAAATAATATAATTACATATACTACTTAAAATATACATATTATGCTATTTGATATCATGATCGCGATGCCTCTGCCATTGCTACCTTTTGCTTAAATGCCCAACGATTCGACACCATCCCGACATCAAGAGGTAGCGCATTCCACAGAAAAATAATATTAATTTAGTGTGATATTATTACCTATATATTTTTGAGTTTTGTTTAGAAATTATTACATTTAAAAATTGTCAATACTTTTAGCTATTAAAAATAATAAAATGCTGTAACTAAACTATGCCATTAGTTAACAAAATATTCCGGATTTCTCGAAGTAAATATATTACTATTTGGTATAAGTAGTTACTTATATAATACTTATAAAATGTTATTGTGATAACATTCGGTATTTTTAAGCTCATTTTCAATACAAAGCACATTTTTTTTTGTCTAAAAAAGGATATAGAAATTTCCGTCCATCGTGGGACAAAACGCATAAACTAAATAACGCCATTTTTATAATTAAAGTGTTATCTTCAAACATTAGAATTGTAATAATTTAATTATTAAATATGTCATGCGAAATAATTATTTTGTTGCATTTTAATGTATAATTAAGCGCAAAAAACAAAATAATTTTGTGTTTTTTTTTGTATTTTGTGTATCATACATAAGTACCTGGTTATTTTTTGTTTAATAGACTGAGACAACAATTTTAATTGTTGTGTCACGGGTTAGTTGTCACTGAGATCATAAAATAATTTATATGTTAATGAACTAGAAATTAATTGGAGAGAAAGAATCGGCTAAGTATTATTTTTACTAGCTATTATCACGCGGTTTCACCTGCTGCTCGGCTCGTATTTGATCGTAGCATGATGTTTTATAGCCTATATAGCACTCAGGAACATTATAGCTATCTGGAAGTGAAAGAATTTTGGCAATCTGTCCAGCGGATCTAAAGATTACCCCCTACATACAAACTTACAAACATAAAAATTTTACCTCTTTATAATATTAGTATAGATTGTACACAATGAAATAGAGCTGAACTTGAACCTTTAGGTCAAGTGGCAAATCTGCGAAAAATAGGTGTACGTATATGTTTATGAGAAGTTTATGAGAAGTTATGCGTTAGCGATTCGTCGTCGACGATCAATTAAATAAATCACCATAATTGTATTTCTTCTTTTTGTGAGACGAAGAGGAGACGGGGGTCAAGAAATTACTTCTCTATAGACTCCTTTTCGGGCGAAGCGGAGTGTCAAAATCTTACTGGCGAAAACCATCCCGTCCCTTCTTCTCCTGATGCAGGCCGAGGCGACAGTACATACAAATTATCCCTGAAAAAACTAACCTCAGTACTGAATGTACGGGCCGCTCAAACTAAATACCTGGTAACGTCAATACAATGCTTTAGTTTTTATAAATATTTTATAAGGCTAGCTAGCTAGTTAAATTTTCAGTAAACATGTCTTTTCTAATCGTTTTTGGACTTTATTACAAAGCTATATCATAAAAAATCGTTGGAAGAGTTTCTGCAGTTACGACTTTTGAAATGCAGGCGTTATCAGCACCTAATCATACTTATTAACTTCAACTATTTAAAGAATAAGAAAACAATACAAGTATTTTAAAATAAAATGCAACTCCATCTACCGTAAATAAAATTAGAATGAAGCTACCCAGCCGTCAACGCAAAATGAGCAAAAGAAAAATGCATCAAAATCTGTATAGCCGTTTAGGAGTTCAGTGACATAACTTCACATACGCTCATAAAATTCAAATATTATAGTCTGTGTTGCATTTTTTGGCTGACAAAGAATCATTGAAGTATTTTATTTATTAAAGTTTCACATTTCAAATAGTAGTACATCATCAGCCTATAAGTGCCTATTGCTGAGCAAAGGCCTCTTCTCATACGGAGGTTTGATGCTTGCTCAAGGCGGATGGGCGATTTCAAACTTATAGTTGGAATTAAAATTATAAGGCATGATGTTTTCCTGCCTCGTAGATCGTATTTTTTTTTTGGTAGATTAGCGACTTTATAGATTACCTGAGGAATTATGAGTGCGTTACCGGCCTTTTGGGGATTAGGGATTTGGAGTTTTAGTCATTGGGGAGAGATTGGGGGAGAGGATGAAACAATATCCAAATGAAGAAAAATGTTAAAAAAGATATATTGTTTTTTTACACCTTTGCCCTTCCGAAGGAAAACAGATGTTATCTTCTATGACAAACAGACTTAATGACATACATTACGTCATATTAGTAATTAAATCAAATAATGATTATAATGACGTGTTAACATTTCTGCAAAATCATCTCCAAGTAATAGGCAACTACAAACAACATTTTTTCAAATATTTATTCAGTTTATTGACATACAAATGTGTACTCAATAGTTAATCAATCAATTATTAGGTTGTAAAGTCTATAATGAGAGGGATAAGGTATTAATTTGTATGCGTAGTTGAAGTTGCCGTAAGGTATAATTTGTGTGGCTTTGAACTATTCTTTTGTTCTGCGATCAATAGATTCTCTATCAATAAAAAGATGACTAATGTTATGAGCTAATAGCAACGCGCAATGGCGTATTTGGCATAATTATATATTTAAGTTTTAAAAATACATGAAATTTCTTACTTCTTCATAGGAATTTACACTTTAAAACGAGTAAATAGGTTTAGTAGAGGACTGACCGACAGACTGTTTAGCTTTAAATTTTTGTTTGATGTTAAAAAATGCCTATGATTGTCTAACTGACCTTGACATTGAAGGGTTTTACTTTTGTTATAAGAATAAGTGTGGGAGAGCCATGCTTCGGCACGAATGGGTCGGCTCGACCGGAGTGATACCACGGTCTCATAGAAAACCGGCGTGAAACAACCATAGCGTTGATAATGCGTATTTTAATACGCAAACCTAAAAAACTGTATCAATATTGTTTTTAATTCATCAAAACCCAAGCAAACGCCGCCACGATTGGCAGTATAAAAACCTTCATCTAAATTAGTCTCATTAAATAATGAATCAAATTAATCTATACTAATATTATAAAGAAGTAAAATTTGTAAATTTGCATGTAGGGGGTAATCTTTGAAACCGCTGGTCGGATTTCCAAAATTCTTTTACTGATAGATAGCTACAATGTTCCTGAGTGCTATAGGCTATACAACATCACGCTACGATTAAATGGAGCCGAGCCACTGGTCTTCTATTGTATCTCAAATTGCCACGACTAGTAGTTTAAAAACCTTTATCTAAACTAGTCTCATTAAATAATGAATCAAATTAATCTAGAATAAATAGAACAAAGACTTACTTGATATATTGCGTTGTATTTCCCTATTGACAGGCAACATCTTCCTATTGTTACCGGCTTACTCTATGAAAAACTAGCAATAATTAACCTTACGTAAATAGTAATAAGAATGAGACGTTTAACTGAAAGAAAATTCTGGATTATTATGATGAATTTCTTGTTTTTCTTGTTCCGTTATTGTTACTTGTTTTCCACTTCGTTTCGATTTTTTTTCAACTTTATGCCTTGCCTACACCTGTGCTTTTCAATGCCTTAAAGAAGCCCCGTATGTGTTCGGTTTATTAAGGGCCACCCGTCCTGGCCACTCATTTGAACAATAAAGTCTAAAAGGTAACCGGCGTGAAACAACCACAGCGTTGCATTTCGCCGTGTGAGTAAAGTTACCGGAGGCTTATCCTACCCCTTCTCCAATCCCTCCAAAATCTACAAATCACTTATCCCCGAAACGGATAGTTAGTCGACAACGCACTTGTAACGCCTTTGGTGTTGCAGCTGTCAATGGCGACGCCGATTGCTTACCATCAGGTAATCCGGCTGGTAGTTTGCCGACATATTCTATATAAAAAGTATCATTCATTTGTTAAGAAGCCCGCTTCTCATGCGTGAGGCATCGAAACCGGATAAGTACTAGACTTGATGTGACTTTTCCGAGTTATAATATGTACTTTCTATGATGATTTAGACACCACTGACATACGGTGAAGGAAAACATCGTAAGAAAATCTGGACTTATAATTTCTAATTATAAGTTTGAAATCGCCAACCCGTCTTGATTATTGCTCGGAAGTTCTCCGTCTGATAAAAGGCCTTTGCTCAGCAGCGGAAACTTATAGGCTGATGATGTGAGGGATATAAGGACAGAGAAAGCGACTTTGTTTTAGTATATGCAGTGAAGTACAAGAAAATAAAGTTATTCCGCACATTCATATCAGATAATCCTCT